ATACTTTGTGCTATTTAATATTTATTTTTAATAAAATTACTACCTGATACAATTCCTCGTTTTGTTTAACCAATTCCTTATAAGTAGACTTGTAATATTTTTCATAGTTATAATCATGATCTGATAACTTGCTACTTTCTGTTGAAGTGACAGACATAATCAAAGTTAAAATTTAAAGACTGTGTCAAGAAAATAAACCAACCTTGTGCACCATTAACCTTTTTATTAACACTTTTCTTAAGTTCGCTTTCACGTCCGTCTGTGATCTAATCTTGCGCGCTCGATTTGAGGCACTTTTTGAAGATGAAAAATTCTGAAAATTGGTATAGACCTTGGTCTTGGATGACAATACAATAATCCGTTGTCATTTTGGGACCCGAACCTACAGGTCGGCGATGACGGGTGTGCAAAGTCATCTCAGAGGAAGTACAGGTACGATTTTTTGTTTATAAATGGTTTCCATGGGTTTTAAAACTATTATAATAATAATTATAATTACTTTTAACTAAAAAGTAGAAAATAAAAAAATAAAAATAAACATTTTTTAAAAACACACTTTTCAAAATAAAACATATTTAAAAAAAAATATATTAAATAATCCAAAAAAATAATGAAAAATTTAAAAGTGTGTGGTGCATCATACAAAACATCTAAAGCCGAGCTAAGTCTCACATTCACTTCTTTGTTTAATCTTGTTTAATATGTCAAGTGTAAGAGCACCACACACTTTTAAATTTTTCATTATTTTTTTGGATTATTTAATATATTTTTTTTTAAATATGTTTTATTTTGAAAAGTGTGTTTTTAAAAAATGTTTATTTTTATTTTTTTATTTTTTGTAGACCTACCAGCAAAATTATTTTAAAAGGGTAAGTTTGTTTACAAAAAGTTATAAAAAGGACTAGCTTAAATAGGTACATTCTAGTAAATTAACTTCGTTGTTTTTAAATTTTAATTTGTTTTACTTTCAGAATTGTTAAATATTATCTGCCAACGTGGATATTGCTATTTGCTATTAACTTACCCAACACTTGCATGCAACATAGACGTCTGTTTGAGAGAGGATTTCCGAGGAATTTAATCTCATGCTGTTTACAAAATTAATTAATCGTGTTTAATTTCTTCACATATTTTGCACTTTAAAAATGATAACCAATGTTTCTACATTATACATAAGGTACCTAATATCATATTATTCAGTTTTTATTAAATGTAATTTAGATTTTTGTATTTGGTTTCAGGTACATTACAAACATTATAATTAATGTATTGATACTCGACGACGAGCCTAAAATGTGTAATTAATCTTTAAAACATATTTTTTGGACAAAATTATTTACAGATAGTATTTGCACATAGTTGTAAGTAAAATATTTTTTCATGCTTATTTTTCCGTTTAGGTATAACAAACGTAATTTGATTTCAGAACAAATTCAAACTTATTAGTTGTTATTTCTATTTTGTGAATCTCATACTTAAATGTTCAATAATTATGGATATTTAAAAACTAGAACAAAGTATTGTCACTTTATAACATTTTATTAAGTAGGCACTGTACTACAACATTATTTTAAAGTGTAAGTAGTTATAACAAATCTTATAAAAAGTACCTTAGCTTAAAGACTTAAATTAAATAATTTTAGTAAATTAACTTCATTGTTTTTAAAAATGTTTTGTTCTTTCAGGAAGGATATTAACTGGCAATGTGGATATTGCTATTATTTCACAAAAATCTTGAATGTGACTACAGTGATAGTTTGAGAGAAGGTTACCAGATGTTTAATTTCTATTCCAATTACTTGCACTTCAAAGATGATTACCAATGTTTCGTTATATAATACATAAGGTAATATTATATTCTTTAGATTTTTTTTTAAATGTAATTTTAGGTTTTTATATTTGGTTTCAGGAACATTACGACAATTCAAATTTAAGTCTCGTGCATGCAATTATTATAACAAACCTAAATGTCCAATCAATCTGTGAGATATATTTTATGGATAAAATAACTTTTAGATAGTATTTGCACATAGTTGTAAGTAACATATTTCTGAGTGTTATTATTAAACCTAATTTTACATAATAATTGTAGATATTTAATAATAAGCTATTGAAATCATGAAGACAAATATCAAGTTTTTTAAATTTTTTATCGTCAAGTCTAATTTTTTTTTACTCAATTTATTGGCATCTAGAAATGTGTGCCAAATAAAACCATTTAATCAACTGTTGTGGGATCTGTTTTAATTTAAAGAAAATAATTTTAGCATACACAAATGTATTTTCATTTTATACATTTCATATGAAGTTGTAAATCTTTTTATAAAAGTAATGATCATATTTTAAGCTGTGCATTAATTCAAGAATCTACATTAGTAGGATATCATGGTTTTCCAGATTTTATTTTTTTAGTTGATTCATTTAAATATTTGTAATATTAACGGTCTGTAAAAACTTGATCTATAGCTATTAAAATTGAAATAGTGTGTCATATTAAATTGTAATTAAACTGCACCGTAAGCAATAAGGTTTATATTATAGTATTAATGTGGTCACTTTTCGATATTTGGTAGTTATAGGTCAGGTTAGTTACATTTAAGACAAAAGTAATATTAAACAAATATATATTTTCATTACCTAAAAGATTTTAACATTTAATAATTAAAATAGTAATTTACTTTTATTTTAATAAATCTATTCTATTAAAGTGTCTCCCAAAATTCCACACCATATATTAAATCCCCACTTAACTTGAAAGTTGAAAGTTAACATCTTTAGTCCAATGAGGGTTTGAATCGGACCAATAATGACTATTATGTCTGTTGATCATCCCATTATTTGTAAACCGTGATTCATCTGTCCATAAAATATTTGTAAGGAAATCCGGTTCTTCATCATCTTTCTTTCAACATTAGAGTATGACATGGTTTAAATGATATTAAAAATAAAAATGTTTATACGCTTGTGATCTTACTGATATTAATGCACATCGAAAAAAAAGTATCGTAATAAAATGTCTAGGATGCAATAAAATATTACCAAAGTATATCATATTAATTGGTAATATTGGTATTTTCCCAAAATTCTTTAAATAAAATGAAAATATATTTGTGTTTTATTTAGCATGTAAATGCATTTTTACTTATGTCCTTTTTTTCAAATTTATTAGAAAGAAAATTGTTAATGATTAAAATTTGTATGTAAAAATGTTTATATTAAAAAATATTATTTTTATTTAAATTGTATTATTAAAAATGTCTATACATTTTGTATCTAAATATTATATTCGGAATTTTTCTCATTTTGAAATCATTTCACCATGTATGCAGGATGTATTGTGTATCATAAAAATTATAAAACCTTATGTTTATTTATATTTTAATAAATTGAATTCATTATTCTAACTGTTGTTTTTTATTTTTAAATTATATTTATATTTAATTTTTATTTATTTATTATAGATATAAATTATAAATTGAGTTTCTTTGGGTAGTAAAAAAAACAAAAAAAATTTTAAGAACTCAAAAATGTACTGTACTTTGCCATATTGGACATTCTGTATATGACATGATATGTATACATTCTGTATATTATATTACATGACACAGTTAAACATTATTTTGTATACCTGATCAGTAATAATTAAACAGTTATATTAGGATAGGTTGGCATACTATGAATTTAAAAAGACATTGCGAAATGTCAATATATTACAGAATGATGTATTGTCATCAGTACGAACATCCAAAATCCAAATAAAATAATATAAAATGATCAACAATGTTTGACAAACTATTGAAAAATAGTTATAAATAATAATAAAATATAACGTCAGGACTCAATAATTATTTATTTTGAATCGGCCCATTGGGTGTGCATCACGTGGTCTTATAATGATAAAATATATTAACTGATTATTAATGATAACATTCCTTGGAAAAGATCATAGATATTAAAGAATGAATAGGCCATTTGTGCTTATCATACGGGAACGAACAAGACCGCTATTAGAATGAGAGGCATTAATAAAATCAGTATTTCTCTCTTCCCCATTCCGGCACACTACCCTCTATTTTGTTAATATAGCCTTGGCCTATCCATTCTTTAATATCAATGGAAAAGATTAATTCAAATCAACATTAATTGACGTAACACTGATAAGTGATAAGCAAGACATAAATTTGAATTTTAACCACAGATATCTGTGATTTTAACAAACTTTGAAAATTATTTAAAAATTAATGACTAAACCTAATTAAAATGTTTAAACACCAAAATTGTTTTTAAAAACTTATTTATAAAATAGCCATCTTGTATTACATTTTATATTTTATATCACTGTTTATTGTTATCAATATTTGGTATCTGTGTTTTAAATACAATATAAATGTCGTTTAGAAGTACGCGAAAATATCGTCTTTAAATACACTTAAAAATTCCAAAAATCAGAATTTGAATATATGCATAATTTAAGCATAAAAATGGGGTGAGCATGCTTAAAAAATCACCCTGATATTAAAATATTAAAATAAATATTAATATTAATATTAAAATATTACTTTATTATAAAAGAAATAATCCAGAGTACTCTGACTTCGGTCTCGGGCTCTGGTTGGTGACCCTATTTATACAACTGGTTGTCACATAACACCACATAGAACCGACCATTCAAATATATAAATATGTGAGATGTTATATACAATTTAGAGAAAATCTTTTTTAACACTATTATGTGGATACACTGTAGAAATAATTGTTGTCTTACTGTATTATCATTATTACAAGATGAGTGGTATCAAAACTTATCGTTTTTTTTAAACCATTATATTCTTAATGACTTAATATAATTTAATTTAAGAAATTACTTTATATAATTATAATATTATGTAATGTTACAATAATAAAGCACACTACAATATAACTGTATATGTGAAATTACAACAAATTGGCGACGAAGATGGGATTGAACTGATAAACGTGGATACACATCACCAAGTACAATGGGTGAAGAAACAAACAATATTACAGAAAACGCAAGTACTTCATTTACTGCGGTTCAAGCCACATTCACAATCGATGGTTTTGATCCTAAGAGACATCGTTGGAACCGATGGATTCAACGAATGGAAGGTTCATTCCAAGTGTTTGGAATTGGTGAAGATTTACAAGTACAATATCTACTACACTATATCGGTATGGAAGCATACGATATACTATGCGACAAAATTGAACCCGGTAACCCAGCTAAAAAAAGTTATGAGGAATTCGTTACTATTATGCGCGAACACTATGAGCCAGCACCATTAGAGATTATGGAGAACTACAGGTTCAGACTGAGAACTCAAAAAGAAGGCGAATCAATTCAAGAATTTGTGGCAGCATTACAACGCCTGTCAATAAATTGTAAGTTCGGGCCATATCTATCAACGGCATTGAGGAATCAATTTGTTTTTGGCCTACAAAAACCCCAAATTCAATCGAGACTTTTGGAAACTGCCGATCTCACTTGGGCGAAGGCAGTGGAAAAGGCGTCGGCTATGGAGATGTCTATGAATGATGCAGCTCAACTACATAAATCTAATACGACAACAGATAAAATTGCGAAACTGGACAATGCAGGTAACAGAAGAACTTCATTTAGTAATAAGTATAATAATTATTGTAAATCTAAAGTGGATAACAAAAACAAACCTGCTGTAAAAACTAAAGATAAGCTTAAATGTTTCCGTTGTGGTTCAGATAAACATTTAGCTAACACTTGTGATAAAAAAAATGAAATTTGTGGTCATTGTTCTAAGGTAGGACATTTAAAAAGTGTTTGACTTACAAGTAAAAACTGTAGACATGGTGGGCAGTAATGACACCAGTTATAATATTGCTGAACTTTTTGAAATTAATGAAGGAAGTAAAGTAAATGATCGGTCAAAAATATTTGTTAACTTATTAGTAAATAAAGTTGAAATCAAATTTGAAATTGATACAGGGGCAGCAGTAACAGTGATAGGAAAACAAGACTACCTAAATTACTTTAAAAATATAAAATTGGAAACCACACATTTAGTTCTAAAATCTTACTGTGGAGTTATACTAGAACTGTTAGAGTATATTAATGCGAAAGTTCAATACAAAAACAATATATATATACTTTTAATTTGTATGTTGTTAATGCCGATAAAGAACCATTATTAGGCCGGGAATGGTTAAAAATAATAAAATTAGAATGGCAGAAAGTGTTCGAAAATAATAACATGGAAGTAAAAAAATTATCAGCAGTTAATGAGGTACAGCAATTACTACAAAAATACAGTTCAGTGTTAGAAGAAGGCATAGGTGAAATAAAAGACATTCAAGCAAGACTTACAATAAACCAAAGCGTCAAACCTATTTTTTGTAAAGCGCGACCTGTTCCTTTTGCACTTAAGACAAAAGTAGAGGAGGAAATTGAAAATTTGGTAAACCAAGGGGTACTTAAGAAAGTAAATTCATCCAACTGGGCTACACCTGTTGTCCCAATTGTTAAACCAAATGGTAAAATAAGATTATGTGGGGATTTTAAAACCACAATAAATAAATTTTTTTTAGTGGATAATCATCCATTATCAACTGTAAATGAATTATTTTCTAATGTAGCAGGTGGGGACAAATTTACAAAAATTGATCTAAGTCAAGCCTACTTACACTTACCTGTACATACCTCAGACAGACATCTATTAACGCTAAATACACATAAAGGTTTATATGAATGCACTAGACTAATGTTCGGTGTAGCATCTGCAACCGCTATATGGCAAAGAGAAATTGAAAAAATTTTAATAGGTATACCTGGGGTAACGGTTTTTCTAGATGATTACAGTCTATAACGTGACTGGTGGTCTCACAACTCTGCATTACAAAAATACGATGTTCAGGCGACGGATGATATGAATATTTACCTATGAGCGATTACTATACAGAGAGCTGCAGCTTGAACAATACAGTGGTGAGCTGTATCACTGCAGGTCTGTGTAGCGTGTTTTACCTATGAGCGATTACTATACAGAGAGCTGCAGCTTGAACAATAAAGTGGTGAGCTGTATCACTGCAGAGTCTGTAAAGCGGGTTTTACGGGATTTTTCCTCTCCAACGCTGAGTGGTAGTAGCTTGAACAATACAGACAAAGCTGTACCACTACTTACTACTGCAGGGTAAGGAGAGGAGTTGTACCGACAGGTACTGATATCAGTTGCGAGGACTCCGCGGCGGGGTCCTCTAGGCAGCGATTTACTTTGAAACGAAATATAAGCGGTGCGGCGGGCGATAGTTCGATCGACGTGTGTTCGACGTGTATTCGACGGGTGTATTGTGTATGGTGAAATTCGGCCTGTATATCTGTTGTTCTCCCACTACTGCTACCGTGCAGTATGGTGGTTACTACGTTTGACTTATTATTGACATTTTTCACTTCCTAAACTGTATCTCGTATATTTGGTTATACGAATTCATATTGTGAGTTTATATTCTGCTTAATGTTGATATCGTAGACTTAAAGTTGTAAAAATGTTGGCTGTCGTAGAGTTGAGTTGGTGACACGCACTCTGTACTCAACTCTTATCACTAGTGATAATATGGTTTATTTGCACGTGAACTGATGGATTTTCATTTATGGTACATATACGAATATTATATGTGACTAATTAATGCTTCATTAGTCACATTACACTTACGCGCATTGTCATCCCGCTTTTTTTATTGTGTTTTAACGGTGTACTGATTATGGGCGGTAGGTAACACGACATGCGTACGAACGCATTCGGCCACCGCTAGATAGCTTGAGCTATTTTGAAATACGCTCGTTTTGTCCCGTTACAACTTATTAGAAATAGATTCAACCTCTAGTTAAAAAAAAATATTATTCACATTCAAAGAATTTCCACAGGTTGGCATATCCATAAATATTACAAATATATATTAATATATGCTAATTTCTAGTTTTTGATCTTTCATCAATTTTACTTAGCCAAATGCTTGCAATTGTTTCAATTTCTTTGATTGATTTATCAGCCAAATGAACAGATGAATGTATAGTTTCTAAAACAAAACAAAGTTGAATTAAATTATTAGTAACATTTTAAAATTATTTCATTTTTATAATCATTTTTAACCTACCTATAGCGTAAAGGTACTTATTGCAAATACTTACTTACCTATTGGGCAATATTTAAATAATTAACTAAAATACTAATGTCGGGTTGCATGAACAATTTATTCATTTAATGGTTCAATAAAAAGTAAGGAACCAATATCATGATTAAGGGACCATATTAGCTCACTATTGATTTGTTAAATGTTTAGTGATTGTCCATGCAACCCAAAATAATAAGGATTATTACATAGTCACTACAATGTATTTTTGTCATGCAATTTCCTTCACTTCCACATTTTTCTAGGATAAATTATTAAAGTAAATAAGTATTTTGTATAACAGTTTTGTTAATTTCATAATTTTTTTTTTAATTCTTTAAAGTTGATACTTAGTATTATTCAAATAAGTTTAAATATACAACAGATAAATAGAACAAAATAACTAATTATCTACTGGTCTGAAAAAAGCTGTATTAATCAAAAATAGAAATTTATTTTAGTTATTAGTGTGTCAATTCTAAGTTCTTTCCAATCTAGTAAAATGACTCAAAGATTACATATACCTTGGCACTATTCAGCTTAATAAAACCTCATTGACACATAGTAAGTATATTCCGGCGCTGCTCCTATTGAAGGTAAGAACTTAAGAATGACTTAAATAATTGTAACTCGGGTTTTCAGGTCGGAAACACTTTTATTATATTTAAAAAACAAACACAAATAAAATACACTTGGCGAATCAATTCATCAATTCATCGACGTTTCACACGTACGACCACAGTACATACGTCCTCGCCGATTCACTCAGCGACAACGTGACTCCTCGTGCCTGCGCGTGCGGCGGTGTTATATAGTAATCTTATCGCTGTCTCAGCACATATGCTTCACTGACCGATGTCAATGGTTTACAATAAAAAAGTTCCCACCTCTGAGACGACTGTCTACAATATACGACAGCATAGAGTTATAGAACAAATAAATATTTATAATGAAAAATTCAAAACCCAGTTAACATTTAACATTTCGGTTGATCCTAACGATTTCAGATAATATTATATAAAATGTAATGGAATACTACACTTTAAAATTGTACATAGCAGTAGTAAGTGGGTCCATAGAGGTGTAGCGAGCTGTGACTATTTCTTAAATGACTATTGAACAATATAAATCTCATTCTAATATTATGTACGTAATCATATAATAGACGCGCCGCATAAATATAATATAATACTAATACGCGAGCGGTGCTCGCGTAAAAGTCAATAATAATAATGTCGCTGGCACCATGTAAACAGTACGTGTGTAGTGGAGCGACGTCAGCATATATACAGTGCGAAGCTAATAATATCAAGCGCATGACTATGAACCGCGAGTGGCAATAGATGTATGACTACGTATATAAATAATTCTAAAATACTAAGAATTAGGATTTGTGCTGTTATATTAAATTACACCACAAATAGACAGAACGAGGAACCGTGTGACAATCCCACGATAGGCCTAACCGCAGGATGACCATGTATGGTCATGTGAATCTGTAGAAGGGACTGGAGAGACCCATCGAGGAGAGCTGATGGACAAGCGTTCATCAGACGAACAACCAGCCTCAACTTGAACAGTCACTAAATACTCATAGTCACAACTCGCTTAAGTATTTATTCATTGATGGGTCAAATTCTATCTTATATACAGGATACTACAGTAAAATACAAAAGATTTATTTTCCTGGAGAATGAATTTGTTTTGGTTACGTCTATGATATATAGAAAAGAGTGTATGTTAGTGATAGAATCAAAAGTTGAACAAGGATGTAGAATTTTATTAAGTCCGAAAGAACTAATAGTAATTCAAAACATGGAGTGGACTATTTTCGAAACCGTAACCAGAAAAAACGATGACCGTGAGACCAATGATTCTATTACAACTTGATCAAATAACTGAATATTTTAAAAATTATTATAATATTGAAAAAGACGCGACACTCGAAGAATTTGTAGCAATAATCAAAGGAATTCATATTGAATTAATATCTACACATGTACCGAAGAACAAATATAGTTTTATAAATCAGATAAAACTGCTCGCAACTGACCAACTACCAAGCAGTTGGATGGAGAAACTCAATAAATCATTAAAAGTATGAATACATGATTTTTATTTATTTTAACTATACTAAAATATCTTTTCAATTAGGGAGTCAAAGAAAATTACTTTCAGGAAGATATCTTCTCACCTCCGTTTACTCAATTGTCTCGTCCATGCCAACAGCCAAAGAAGACGGTAATTTTAAAAATAATAATAATCTATATATATAAAAATGGAGACAAAAAATTCGAAATTGCATCAGTTGAGAACGTCTGGGCCGATTTTTCTCAAATGTTTTTTAAATGATAGAGAATGTCGGGGAGCGGGTTTATAGCATAAATTATGGACCTAACTCATGTGAGTTAGAGATTTAGAGACAAAAACAGAGTTACACCGGTGGCGCCCTCTAGCAGATAAAAATATAAATATAAATATAATATAAATAATAATAATAATTGAAAGTGTTTGTAAGCGAACTCCTCCTAAACGGCTTCACCGATTTTGATGAAATTTTTTGTGTGTGCTTGAGTGCGCCCTTGAATGGTTTAGATTCATAATCGGACCCGGTAGGCCTATTTCGGGGTGGTGCTCAAACGGGAATGTTGAGATTTACGGTGGATATTTTTGTTTATAAATGGTTGCCATGGGTTTTAAAGCTATTATAATAATAATTATTCGTTGCCGTCATTCGTTAACACCGAATGTTAAATAACTAAATAACGAATTGAACAACGTTTGAGTCATATAGAATTTGTACATTTAACGGGAAACGAAGTGCACGGGATCAGCTAGTATTAATAATAAATAATAAATATACTTAATTATCAGGTGAACGATGAATACGATGGACCCGGGGCGGACAGAGACGAAACAACAAATGTAAAAGTAAAGAAAGTTTATAACCATTAAAATCATTATAATGAATATAATTGTATTAATTTTTTAGGATTTTTTCGAGACATATGATCCGGTCATCGATTTTTTTTTCTTTTTTTTTTTATTATTTGTTCATTGAAACGACCTCTAGGTCTTCGTCAATGCTTATCACAAGTGGGTAGTAGGGAGATCATGTGATCTATTTATCTATGTATATATCACTATATGCATGATACTACCCCCTTCTCCTGCAAGAGAAGGCATGTGCGGTCTTCACTCCCAGTGGAGTGGGACCTAGTTGGAAACCAGATGACGCAATCGGACGACAGCAGGGGGAAATGGTGATCGCGTAGAACCCCACAAATTTATTTTGCACTGAGCTATGAACCGAACCGATGACTGTGTGAGTCGTAGTCAACTGCGTGACCACTGCGCCACTCTGGCCCTATCATCCGGTCATCGATGAACCCCACAAGATAGCAGACGAAAAAAATTGTTTTTCTCAATATTTGTTTTGATATATAATATTTAAAAATAAAATCTTTTTTCTCTATATCATATGTTTTTTTTTTGTTACATGAAAAGGGTACCGCTCATCACCGATCTAAATATTTCCCACCCCCGAGTATAGAGTAGGGATAATCCCCACTCTAAACGAGCGATCGGGTAGCACTGTTTAAAAGGATGACACAGACTTTTTTCAAGACAGTCGTGAGTGTTCCGTCAAACGAGTCTTGTGCGTACCCGATTACTAACTTATTTTGAGACAGTTGTGAGC